CGGCTATATTAAATAATATGCGTTAAAAACTCTTCCCCACGTGCACCGCCGCGGGGCCTGCACAGGAGGCTAAGGATTAGGGGTGTTTCCCGTTTACTAGATAACCAATTGTAGGGTACAAAGTATGCCATCTACAAGTACATATCGACTACACTTTCATGGGGCAAACCTAAACTATATACTATATATATATATATATATATATATATATATATATATATATATATATATATACATATACGAGTATTAGTTTCCCATCCGTGAGTAGTTTCATCAGGTTGGTAAGTCACCGAGTATATTTATATACTTTCCGATCGAGAAAGAAAACGGTATATATATCATATATAACAACCGCCTTGTTAACAACAGCCGTGAGATACCTTGTTGGTGACAAAGCGTAAGGATATATACGCATAGACGCCACTATCGGCCGGCCCACTCTCCTATACTGTAATCCCATTAAACCACATTGTTATTAAGTAAACTTATAGCGCAACTAGAGTTCCACGACTTTACACCTTCGCCGAATTATATATATGTTTCACCTTTTCGGTGAAGGAGGTGTCTTTCCCCGAGGCAACAATAAATGACCCCCCCCCCAAAAAAAATAAGCAGGTTTGTTAGAATACTCACACAATTTTTATACTCAATGTATTCTACAGAGGATTCAACCACGCCGATGGGCGGTAATAACGGCTATACAGATGCGGGCGGTACAACGTCCGGTAGGTGAATTTAATTTCCCGTCAGACCAGGTACCATTCCCAGCCCAGTATAATCATCACCATCCCGAAATAAACTTGTGTTCTTTTGGAACTGCATTTGTGACACCTTGAATTTCAAAGTAGAGAATACGTTAGTAAACGTATGGCATCGATCGATAAGGTCCTTCAAACATCTCCCATGAATTTTTAATGAAATTTGCTTGCATTCTACAGAAACTTTCTATCATTGAACGAGCGCCGAGACATCGCTGGTCGTTAACAGTGAAAAAAAGGGCGATCTGACCAAGTTTGGTCGCTCTCAGCGCGCGATCGCTGTGTAGTGGATAGGGGGAATGTAATTTGCTATTCATTATTAATAAGTATAATGAGACCATAGAGGAGAGGAGCTATTAAACCATTTACTATACATATGTATGTCTAGGCTACTCCCGGTGTTATGGTGCACCCAGCCACCCCGACGGTTACACCAGTGGCTGTAGTGAAAACCAGGAAGAATTCCCAGCCGGCCACACGTGTGTCTTCACCTGCCCGGTTGGATATGTCAAGACAGCAGGAGATTCGATAAAAGTCTGTGAAGACGGCCAATGGATGGGAGAAGATCTAGTGTGTGAAGGTAAGTCATTAATGCCATGATTATTTTTTTTACCTATTATAGACATTTTTTAATGTATAATGTATGTGGTTCTGACCAACGATAAGGCATCAAGAACAAAGCACGTATTATGGCCTAATGTAAATGACTTTATGAAAAAATTCCATGGCCTATGAATTCGCCAATTAACATTTATTCAATTATTTATTTACTTTGAAGTCACCACAAGAAGCACACTATGCAAGGAAGGGCAAAAAACGTGCATGAACATCTTTGCAAGTTGCCCTCCCAGACACTTACAATAGAAAATCATAGATTATAAATTCTAAATATTACATAACAATTTGTGTTGATGTCTAGGGACAAAGATAGTAATAATGAGTAATACTGTTAATTAAGATAAACAAGCTATTCATACCTGAGACACATGGCCCTCGGCTCACGATAACATCGTTCAGAGGTCTCCCGAAAATTTCCATGAAAGTTGCTCACATTCACACTTTACCATATGTTCAGGTAACCCATGTGTTGGTGCACCCAGCCACCCCGAAGGTTATACCGGTGATTGTGGCGCAGCCCAGCTCTACCCAGCCGGTCACACATGTGTCTTCACCTGCCCGGTCGGGTATGTCAAGACAGCAGGAGATTCAAGGAAACTCTGCGAAAATGGCCAATGGAGGGGAGAAGACTTAGTGTGTGAAGGTACCACATTAATGCAGTGATTTCACCTTTGGACATGTGTTAAATGAATATATAAAGTATGTGGTTTAAAAACGGCCAACAGTAATGCATCGAAAGACGAAAGTGTGGAATGCCCAACTTTAATATTATAAAACGTCCATACATATGCCCGTTAACATTACTGAATGTCATAACAATTTGTGTTGATGTCTAGCTACAAAGATGGTAGGGGGTGTTTATCATAACGGGATTGTCTTTCTAGTATAGTGCATATTGTATATGTATATATACCATATGCTTACTTGCTACGAGTAAAAAGACTATCCCGTTATAATACTATATACATGTGTCGCATTTCATAACAAAATCCGTTCTTTGATATTTATCTAATTGTAACAATCAACATGGCAAAGACATACTTAAAAGGGAAATATCTTGTGCGTTAGCCCTAAATGCACTTTTAAGGGTAGGTGAGGTACCCATGAGTGACGTATTTATACGCCAAGTCCTTGTATAAACAAAATCGGGAGTTGTAGCTTCAAAAGATATCTGACTAGAGAGAGCTTTGGCTATGGTTGTAGTTACTACGCCATCCCACTAGTTTCCCTTTCTGCTGTTAAACTAAATAGATTTGTACAAAAAATAACTCGTGCTTACTCGTAGTAAATTAAAATGCATTAGAACAGGAGACAGCCGACAGAGCAGATTACAGAGCACGCGAGCAGACAGCAGTTACTATCATATCACTTATAAAATACATCAACAGATAAATAACACTAAATATCAAACTATAACCGTGGGCATGGGAAAACTCTTATTGCCAACCTTGTTTTGGAACTTGGTTGTCCTTCTTTACTTGTAATGATTATATAATCATATCATAAATGATGATTGTTCTTTTGAAGTATTGACTGTTCCCTTTCGTCACAACAGATATTGTTGGTGTGTCCACCTTTCTGAACCCTCTTGACCCTGTATTGGTGGAGGTGGCCACTGACGGTGGGAGCGTTATACAGGTATATTATCAACAAAAACAAAATCCAAAGTCTCAGCCTCCCTAAATTATCCGTTTACTATATTCCTTGACCTTTTATTGATTCAAAAAATTCACAATTTGTTGGTTTTGACTTTACAATGAAGAAGATGGAAATTTGCCGATTTAGTTAACTCTTCTTTCGTGTTGCTTTTGCAGTCCAAAAAACGAGATTTGGGGGCAAACTAGGCTTAGTGGATGTACATGTATTTGCCATCTTTCTTTTTCATTATGAAATGATATAGGCCGATTCAGACCCAAAATGAAACTCCTCTTGTGTGGACTGACAGGTCCAAGGAAACAAGACAGATGAAGGAACCGCGACCTCGGTGGAGTCCCTGACCCAGACCACAGCTGGTGGAGACGAGACCACTGTTGGCTTCGATCCGGATAGTGCTCTTGTCACAACCGTGGTGACGTCATCAGGAGTCACCATGACGTTCACGTGGACTAATGACAAAGTCTTCGTCACTGCTTCGGCACAGAACTCTAGTTTTGAGCTTAATGTGCAGGTGATGCATCTCCACGTCGTTTTTAGAAATTCATACCGTTACTTCGATGGAATTTGAGCGTATAAATCTACCTGTAGTTAAAATGCTGCTCACAAAGGAACGTAAATCGAACGTAAGGAAACTTTACGGCTGCCATTCACACCCAACTCACTCACCGGCATTACCTATATTGCTACCTTTGCAATTGTTGCTGGTGTTGAAACAACCACAATAATGAATACCGTCGACGCGTCTCTGTGCTGTTAGGTTCGCCTGGAGCCAGGTGACTCGTCACCCGGATCAACCTTGCCTGAAGTGAACGGAACAGTAAGTGGGACTCCAACAGTGGCGATGCAGAGTCTACGGCTGCCCGTCCTGGTTACTAGGTGTGGCCTACCCACAGACAACGTGGTTGTCAAGGCGTTTGGTTACAAAGGTATATTAGTTTACTGCCAAGTGTTTGTGTGTACTTGTGTGTGTGTGTTGGTGTACAGTCACTACAATGAATATGTGTGTATGTTTTGTGTGTGTGTGTGTGTGTGTGTGTGTGTGTGTGTGTGTGTGTGTGTGTGTGTAGTGTGTTGTTGTTGTGTGTGTGTGTGTGTGTGTGTGTGTGTGTGTGTGTGTGTGTGTGTGTAAGTGTGTGTATATGTGTGTGTGTGTGTGTGTGTGTGTGTGTGTGTGTGTTCACGTGTGCATTGCTGGTCCTGATTGCTAAATGATTTTGAATATTTGTTAAAAAGGCTAGTTAGAAATAACTTTTTAAGAGAAACGCCGTACCTCTACAGGTTCAAACTTGACATCAGCTACCGACGTTTCGTCCCTGGACCCGGACGTGGAGTACCGTGTTTTGCCGACAGATGAAGCTGGACAGTTCGAGATTGTCGTCCCGGCCAGCCCCGCGGTCTCTTCTCCAGAGGCGGCTCAGACCGTGTGCGACAGCGTCAGCCGGGTGGTCGGGGGCGTGTGCGCCGCTTTGCTGAACACGAGGCCTGCAACGGACGGCACCATCTGTAACGAGGTCGCCAACGCAGCACAGTTCATCACGACTCAATCAGGTTAGTAAAAGATGTCTCAACTATTTACCGTCTAAGTTGTGATCGATCTTTGATAATTAAAATCTGTCGTAAACTTAGACTGTTACAATATGTTCTTATCTAGCATCTATGCATACATATACACACAACATGTTCTTGTAGGCGCGGAAAGTACTCTGATTCTGGCCGCTTGCATGGGAGGCTTCGGCGCCGTGCAGACGTTCTGCAACGCTTTTGGCTATAACACAACAGAGGATGAAGCTATTGCATCGTCTAATCTCTGTCAACAGGTACTCGTACTTGATCTGAATTTGTTGCTTCAAGAGATGCGCCTTTTTATTACATGTAGTACTGTTACATAGCTGCTCGTTGTTTCATAGGGAATAGTGAATAAACAATATGAAGGTATAAATTTGCTGTCTTCTTTAGATTTAACCAGACTGAGTGTAACACACGCTTGTAAAATTCTAATTTTCGGGACGTCTTAATTATTCATGACATTCGTGGGTAAGAACAATTGAGTTCTTCATTGCAAGTTCATGCCCGAGGGCTAATTGCAAGCAGACATTGACAAAAACAATGAGTACAGAATGTGGTGATTCAACACTATATGCTAACATGGAGTTCTACGTATACGGTCTGCTTATTTAACTTACTATATCTACTAATATAACGTTGGTATACGGGATAGAGAGTGGATATGCGTTACATAAATAGGAAATGATGGTAACTGCTCTCTTATTCTATAACTAGTACACTGTCCTAGCCAAGCTGTTAAGGGGTTGTACAAGCTTTCAGCAAATCTATGGGCGCCGTCCTGCTGTTATGTGTAAATTGATCTACACATATTTGATGGCCCAACCTGTTTCTTCTTTTTATTTCAAACTTCGTTGTAGGTGACCGGAACAGTCGACTCGTTTTCTCCGGATCCGGTGCTTGTTGTCCCGAAGGCTGTCTTCTCAAATGGCTTGGAAGTCTCCGTGCCGGGAGAGGTCGTGTCGCCAGGAAACACCGCCCAAACACTTCCTGTCTTCAGCATCTCCAGCATCGGTCAAGCCATCTCCTCTGTTACCATCACCCCGCGAGATCCCTTACCTGAGGAGGACTACGTCGTGTATGCACAGTTCGTCTGCACTGATGCCACCACCGTGGTTACCATGGCGATTGTCGGGACAGATGGGTATACCAAACAAGTAAGTCCACTGATGTTTTGTTTTAGGGTTGACTACCGTACGTTTATAATTTACGTGGTATTAAATGTGAAATTATAATGTCTACGGCTACATTGACCACTGAACACTGACGCTTCGTGAGTTTTGTCATGTACTAAACTTTGTAACCCATTGGCTCACCTTCAGGTGCAGTGTACAGGCGCCATCTCGGACTGTACCCTGTATGTGCCCGGGGCAGCAGAGCTCGTGGTTGACCGCGTCACCATCTCCATCCACTCAGGTGGCCTGTTCGTTGTCTCCATGGAGTACGTCATCGTTTTCTGAGCACATCTTGCCTGTTCGGCCAATCAGGCGATCGCCTCACTAATGCTTAGGTCACATTTCCAAACCGGGGCCCAGCCGGGCTGTTTGTATGAACTAAAAATTAATAATTCAAGAATATACAGAAAAAAACTTTTGTGTTTTGTTGTCTTGTATTTTTCGTTCCCAGAAGCCCCGTGTGGGAATTGGCCTATGGTTGATGTTATAGGAGTTCAGTATAAAAACAATACTCGATGAGCGATTAGCTTTTAGCTGTGGAGAATACAATCGCTTACATTTAGAATAAAGATTAAAAAAAAACTAGATTTCAACGACCTTCACCAATAATTCTATATTGTCCTTATCAGCTGGTCCTTAGCAACTATGCAAATGATCTTATAATTGGCATTGTTTCTATTTCAAAACAGTTATTTTCACTAGTTTAGTTAAACGAACCATGATTATGAAGCTCTTATGGTAGCAGAACACAATGGTCTGCGGACTTGCATGGCTTAGGATCACGACGTGACTGTTTTCAACTTCATATATGCGCGTCATAGATCCTGGTGTCCTTGAAAATTCTGTGTTCTGGTACCTCAAGAAAGCAATTAGCAAAGTTCAAGGCAACGGAAGGTCACTAACACTGGTTTACTCAAGACTTTGCGTTATACAACAGTTCTATATATATATATATATATATATATATATATATATATATGCATGCCGTCTTTAATTCTTGTAGAAATGTTTCAGCAAGTGTTGATTAACATAATGAAATTAACCTCCTGTACCTTTAAATGACCCCTATTAGGGGCATTCAGTATAAGACCTTACTTCAGTTGGGATATAGAATTCGATTAAGAGATTAAATAGACTGTAGAGATACATATATTCAATATGTATCTTTTAAGAATTTAAAAATGATTTACCCATTAATTAAGTCAACCTATTATTATGTTAATAACTTAGAATACATGTATTAACAAGATGTGATGGTTTAACTCTTCATTTTAAATTTCATTTTCTGTGCTACATCGCTGGCATGATAGTTGCTACTTTGTGGGAACTTGCTACTGTTTTAGTTAATAAAATATGGTTATTACTTACCACAAACTGCATGTCTGCCTGGTTTTCTACACACAATATAGGCCGTTCTGAATAAAGAATGGTGTTTACTGAGTGTAATTCTGAAATACATGTACCGAGTGTAATGATAAAGTGGTAGACTATACACCATCTGACATCTGACTTAAACACACCAAGTGACGCTTCCATTAAATCGCAATATCTCATTGATAAAATATCTTTTTTAAGATACTTCATCTACTGTGTGTTGTTAGGGACAAATACATCACCATGGGACGGAGAGATATATCTGTACAGCGATAAAAAAAGTTGTATTGACAGTTGTAACGTTATGTTATTTATACATTGGAATGATACTACCATTTGTAAATCTTAAGATGTTCACGGTGGTTTATTTTCACAGTGCCTCTCCACGTACTGCAAAATCACCACACCGCGAATATGTGACTTTGTGTTACAGTACTCTTTCGACTCAGATATTAAAACACCGCTTCATATCTTAATGTCCCAAGACACCATATTTACAAAGAAGCAAATGGTTACTATCATCACGTTTTTAATTGATGATATAGTGAGAAAATTCACCGTCCAAAAAGTCAATAAAATAAAAAAGCAAATTTTAAGGTTAGAGGTCAAAGTGCACACTTGTTAACACACACATACTGAATGATTTGTTAGGGAAATTCTTACATGCAAGTTTGCAAGTCACCACGGTTATCGTCGCATCTTCCTTTTAGATTTGTCCGACATTACAACTTAAAATCTACTATGTGTTACCAAGAGATGATGTTATCGAGTATAGATTTTGATCTTACAGTTACCTGCCGTTTAAAATCATCATTAGAATCAAAGATTATTAGAACACGGCTGCCCTTCTAGTTCAGCTCTGTTAGACAGTATAGTTACAGAGAAGCAAATGGATACAACCATCATATGTATATTTACAACTAAACGAGAGAATTCGCCATGCAAAATAAAGTTACTTTAAAAAGAACGTTAATTTGTTGGCAAGTCAAGTCAAGTTTATTACGCAACAATTGCATTGGATACAATGAATGGAAAATAACTATAAACTATTTCTACTAGAGGTACTAATCTAACTTCAATACATGTATATATGTTATAATGGACTGTTACATTTTACATTACTGTGACATTGTTTCTCTTTTGTATAGCATTATGTACATATTGGCCTAGATAAACAGATACAGAGTAGGAGCATGATAAAAGCATGACACGCGCGGGTCAAGGTGACACACAACCGGAGCAGGGGTCCCCGAGACAGTGTGACATTTCTTAGCAACTGAGGCTTGAGTTTATTACATAATTCCTTTACAGGAGAATTAAGACCCATGGTTAGGCAACGAGAAAATTAAGGTTGTAGTTATGGCAGAATTTTGTATAGATACAATAAACACATCTCAAGTCTACCACATTCAAGCCATGACAAATTACAATATGGATATGTAGATGACCATAGGTGAATTACGTGTTTAAAGCCATATATTTCGGTCTAGTTGTGCACAAACAGGTGAAGCTAACCAATTGACCTTTTTGACGGCGTAACAGTCTTTGTTTCCGACGCTTGACCTGATCGGATAATTTGGTATAATTTAAATTTAGTACTACTTTGAAGTCGGGCAGAAAAACCTGTTAACAATAATAGGTACGGTGACCCTGTCCCCGTCGTGTCACCTGGGGCTGATGACAACCTTGTGGAAGGCTGGACATCGCAGGCTTCGAAGGGCCTTTATTAACCACTTTTTTTATGAATACAGAATGTTTTCTGGTTGCTGCAGCGCTCACACAGTTTAAGTAACGTAGCCATCAGAAGACGGTCAGAAAATAGATCGTTATCAAACAGAAGGCGACGATATTAAAATAGTACCAGCAGCCTGGTTTGGAGGCTATCCTTAATTGACCGGGATTCGTCATAGAGGACAGCATTTAGACCAGTCGCCCCAGTCCTGCCGAACACCAGGTCGTCTGAGACAGGTCGGACATTCGGTAGCTACCACCATGCGGTGAGTACGAATGATTATTTTTATTGGAATGTTGTTGTAGACGTCAGTTTTACACGCCTTTCGCAAAACAGTCAATTGACGGTCAATTTTTTTCAGTTTTTCGGGATATTTGGTCCGTTAGAACCACGGTTGGTTGTGAGAAAAGGAGTCGGTGAGTTTGACCTTGGAGAGTCGACGGTTAGCACATATACGTACTGCCTCGGAATTAGACTTTAAAAAAATAGCTGCTTCAAGAAGTTAGTTTTTGTTTCTCGCTTGTCAGGAACCAAGTACTTTAAGTTAATAGGCTGTATCGTTTTTTTCCTAATGGTGCACCGTGCAATGTTTTTTTTTTCCTAAAAGACGTGGCACATGCGTCACTTATTGCCTTACTACAAAGTCTTACATTTTTTAAATTTACCGTACTAGATTTTAGATATCGATCCAAGCATTTGTTCCTGTAAACTTTGTATGCGGAGTAGGGAAATATGTTTTTACGCCCACGGCTATAGGAGATTTCGCCATTCTGGTGTTACTGACCGCCAAGTGGACTCCCGCTGTTTGGGCCACAGCAAGTAATTTTTATGGATGACATCAGCGCGCGCAGTGAAATTTTGTTGCCCTCTGACAGTGGTCAACATGCCTAAAAATGGGCAAAGATTTCTGTTGCCATGCCGGAATGTAGATGGCAGATAAATATGAAGAGAGGAAAAAATACAATGCTCTGATTTATTGTTTTTATTGTTTTGTCTATTACTTTGATGCTGTGATGAAAATATTTCATTCCTTTTAAGTTTATAAATGATGTTCCCACTGAATCAAACCATTTATACAATGATTGAAAACTTTTAGCTTTCAGTGACAATGGATGTTGTTATAGTTGACAGTAAACCTAGCACAATATACTGTAGGTACCATTTCTTGTTTAACAAGGTTTATGATGCAAAAATTTGAAAATGTAGGAATCTTGTTTTTTTGGCCCTCCTTGTTTTGTTCTCGCCCTATCGTATTAGATTTGGATTCTGTGGAGGATGTTATCCATAAAATTCCCTTGCTGTGGCTTTAGATCTGTCTATGGAGAACTTCTGCCGATATTGTACATGTTGACAGTCGCTTTCCGATTCTCCCGTAATCCATTTACAAGTTAAGGAACTACCAAGTTAAGTATAAAAGGTTCTACCCGTGCCCTATGCAGAGCATAGGGTTTTGGTGCCCATGTCCATTTCCGTAGCCCTTTGGCGACACACAGTTGTGCAGGGCACTACAACAGGGGGCTAGTCCGCTGGTAGTGCTGTGTGCTTGACCTTCCCCACACTCTTTCTCATATGTGCCGAGAAGCAGAGAAAGCAGAGAAAGAAGTGTGTACCATTTTTAAAGTCTTTGGTATGACCCGGCCGGAGTTTGAACTCACAACCTCCCGGTTACAAAGCGAGCACTCTACCAATTGAGCTATTGAACCGGTTAAGTATATTCAATCAAAAATCAAAGGACTACCCTCTAAAATTTTTCAGATTGTATGATTGAGCCTTTGAATGTGCTTTCTGTGTGCTTTTCTTCACCGCCCATATCGATATCATTTCAAGAGCGTTTAAAAACTTTTGTGCTTACAAAGTGCACAAGAATGTTTGTCGGTGCAGGAGGGAATTTAGGTAGAAATGATTTGGTGGCCATCAAGTTCATCAAGTGGGTCAGGAAAAAGCTATCACTGTGAGTCAGAGTTTATTAAGCTTCGTTGTACCTTTGTTTTCCTATTTGTTATTTTAAGCTATTTTGTAAATGTATATGTCCGCAGGGAACATTGAAAAACGCCCTAGCGGCGACATGTTTTACCCTGGGTAAATAAATAAATGAAATGAAATAACAAAGGTATTTAGGTTATGTTGAAGTGAATAAGAATGATCTTAAAATAGAGACAAAAACGCTAGCAATCTATTGGACAAATTCTCTAGCCTGTGTGCTGGCCATCCGATGTCCTTGGGGCTCCTCTGGCCCGAAAAAAAGTAGATGGCACCCAGATTACTAATTCTCTGCTGCCCCCACTACCTAGACTACAAAAACGCCCGGTTCCCACGGGAATGCTTCCCGATGCACTGATGACATCATGCACACCTGAGTCGGTTGACATTTGACATTCGGCGAAAGGATGTGAAGTAACAATGCAGGCTATTAAAGAACTCGTAGCGTATGCGTGCTATTGGCACTTAACTGGCCATTAACTCCAGTCCGTTCATAGGATCTAAAATTTTTACAACTACAGTAGGATTTAAGAACGCGCCCATATAAGACAGGTACTTTTACTTTAGCCACAATGAATAAGTACACTAGTACTCTAGTCACCTTTCAGAGCACGCCTACATAATGACAGAATAATTGCGTAGATGTAGAGGCCAGATAGAGCGCAGAGGGAGCATGTGAACATGTTTTATCGGTGTATTTGCTAATTGCTAATAAAAAGCTTGACTGCCCAAATAATCATCTTGTTCGACCGGTCTACCATTAGCACAAGGTGTGAGTAAGAGGCCAGCAGGCTAATTTTTGGCACAGGCCCAGGGGTTTCCACAATTTTATAATAATCTTACATCAACAACCTCCTTCAATCCAAATGACTTTTTGTCTTTCCTTTTTAGGTCCATCATCGGCATCCTCCTCTGTCTCGCCCTTGTGTTCTATGTGGCTCCTGTCGGCGGAAGGAAAGTTAGAAGTACGTCTTGGAGATTCTTATCTTTTTGAAAACGAAAATATGTTACCTACCTGTGCAAACTATCTGGGTTCTAATTGATGTTGAAGGTTTGCTCCATCCACCCTTGCACATGTCTGATTTTCTGTGAACATGACAGGTTTTACTTCCAATTATGTATCTTTGTATGAAATGTATTAAATACAAATTTAGATTTCATACGTACTATGAGAGTTGACGTAATATAAAAGAGATATATTCATGTGCTACTTGCAGAGAGGTGCAAGCCTTTGACGTTCCCAGACACGGTAAGAAGTTGTGACCAGGAGCCAAACGCAGAAGGGTGGTACCAAGATGGAACCGTCTGCAACTTTGACTGCAGGTTGGGATGTGTGAAGGACACAGGGGGCACAAGGAGGGTGTGCAAGGTCAAGGGCAGGACAAAATGGTGGACTGGAGGACGCGGACTGAAGTGTCGTTGTGAGTGGCAAACTTTCAAATATAGAGACATATACCTACTGGTAAAAAAATGGGCTAGAGGGGTTGTTACCTCATTTTTATGCCAGTACTTGATTTCATAATAGGTACTTTGTCCTAAAAAAACTAATGGTACAAAATAACGTTTAACACCATTTTTTTGTTTAACACGATTTTGTTAACGCAAATAATTTTAAGTACTAAATAAATGTACTTTAAGAAGAACGTTAATTTGTTAATCAAGTCTAGATCTCTAGCATAGCATAGTATGAGCTTACACAATTCATATGCTGGTGTTTATGATTATAAAAAACTAAATGAGCTAGTGCATGCTTTCATTATATTTCAATATATACCATAGATATGGATAAACTATTTGCTTTTCATCATGTTTCTCCATCTCCTCCTGCATCTTCCAATTTCAAATCTAATTTTGTTCGTTCAATTAATTCACGCTCGCTCAACGTCGTTGCAAACGTCGTCTGGTGGAAAGGAATATGATTTGATGTTGATTTGAAATAAAGTGTTAAACGAGAGCTTACTAATGATTTACCAATAATATTCCAGGTCGCCCATGTGTCGGTGCACCCAGCCACCCCGAAGGTTACACCAGTGATTGCGGTGCAGGCACCTACCCAGCCGGCCACACATGTGTCTTCACCTGCCCGGCCGGGTATGTCAGGGCGTCCGGTAACGAGAGGAAAATCTGCGTGAACAGCCACTGGAGGGGAGAAGATCTAGTGTGTGAAGGTACCTGCTTGTGTTTTTACTTTACTTTGACTATTTAAAAATGAATGTAACAAAAGACCAACCGTGATGAAATTAAGGCCAGAAGTGTGAAACGTAAAACTTTATACAGATATAAGGAAGAGTTCCACGAACCCATACCTTCGCCAATTTTTTTCAGTGAGGAATTGCAATTTTTCTCATTGATTATGTGAATGATATCCTCATTTACATTAATTACATTAGTTGATTATGTTATCCACCCAATGACAAAGGAAGCTATTCTAGCGTTTCCTCATAAATTATGAATATAAGGTGCTGATTTGAATAAACTCTGTTAAATGATGTTTGGCTTCACTTAAACTCCAAATATGGTAAGTATGAAATTCTTGACAGTTACTCTGAAATCTATGAAATATTATCCTTTTCTTTAATTATGCAAATTAGGTCCTCATTTACATAATCAAATCTGTCGACGTTCTCAATTACATATTATACAACTTCAAATAGTCCTATATTGGAATACAGCAGATTTACAGTTCCTTATTAACATGTAAATTAGACACTGATCTGCATAATTGCCATCTAATTATGTCAAGCACTTAAGCTATCTACATACCAAAAAATCACGATCCGTCAAACGGTTCTTGAGTTATCCTCTCTCGCAGAAGACCATTTTATAGCCAGGAAATGCCCAAAATTGCAGATATTTTAACACTTTTCCGTGTATTATTTTAAGAATGCTATTGTCAGGCCTTTGATATTTAAACGTGGAATTTCACATGGAACATCTTTTAAAGAACTTCTTTTGTGTCGGTTCAGAGACAAACGAATGCTTGTCTGATCCGTGTGCAAATGGCGCGACTTGCGAGGACGAGGTCAACGGCTACACCTGTACTTGTGCTGCTGGATATGAAGGAGATCATTGTGAAACGGGTGAGTTTTTCCATTACAGCTTCTGCCAGGCCGGGCAGGGAACACTTGTTGTCTTCGTCAGAAAGACTATGGAAGAGGGCCTGCATGCCGTTTTCCGTTAAGCGTTACGTGCTGTGAGCCGGCCCGCTCTAATTCAACGTTAAGCGTTATCGGTATGTTTATCGTTTAGCGTATAAAATTTGTTTCTGTTAATTTTACCAAAATTAAAGAGGTTCAAGAAACCAAACTCAGTCGAAGAGATATAATTTCATCCCATATACAGTTCCGAATTATTTCCCGGCAGAGACGGTCACTAGACTTCAGGATGTGCAGCTTCGAATTCGAATACAAAAGATTTCCAAATAATTATTGAATTGGGCAAAGTGTTGGGCATAGTTTTAGGTACAGGAATGGAACAGTTGCCCTCCTCATGCCTCAAATTCGTATTTTTCAGACTCGGAGTGCCATTTTCCATTTACGTACGAAGGAGTAACCTACAATTCCTGTACCGACGTCGACCATGACCGTCCCTGGTGTTCTTTAACCGCGGAATACCAGGGCGAATGGAAAAACTGTGACGGAGGTAAGTTCATGACCACGATGAAATGGTTTCGTCCCCTTTTACAATTTGCCTTTCTGGTTCTGTGTGGGACGCGGTCAGAACAACCTGAGCATGGTTCTTCTCCATGTAACTTCTTTTCATCCGCACATGCGAACACGAAAAATCGTCTACCCACAATACTCCGCCAGGAGGCATACAATAAATCGAAAATAAATCTGGTAAGAACGTATTGGACTCCGCACCCTTCAAATCGGTAAATGCTGTTTATCCATGACCTCTAATCGCCCAGAAAACATTGCAACGCTCATTATTTAAGTCTAAGAAAGGAAAATGTTGCCTGATTTGCAGAGAAATTTTGTAGAGGGTGTAGAAGTTTCACGTGCATGTACTTGGGTGGGAGAGGGGGCGTGCGTCCATTTGCGGGACATTTTCGATCGTAAGATTTACGCTCAAAAGATACTGACCATGAATTCAGATACATTGAAAGATATTGATAAGGAACAGTATCATGTAATTTTTAGTAAAACCAGTGTGCACTGTGCTGGAGTAGATTGTTGCGAGCGTCTCCAAAAAAAATTATGCAGGGCATTTTCGATCGTAAAATATTGTAAGAGTCTCTTAGTAGCTCGATTGGACCTTACAAAGAATGATCACACTGGCCGCAGACGTGGATGTAACGGGTTATATTCAGGACTCAAATAAGAGTGTATGTACTGAGATTTCCATGTGCTCGACCTCAGACCCCCAGCTGCGGATCATACCATTCGAAGCCGGTTGCGTACTACTTTTGCCATTTACACTATCATACAAGTTGAAAAGATAGCGATCTTGGATTCGAATATATTAAAACATACATTTCTAGTTCTAAGGAATAGTAGAAAACAACGGGTTGTAGTTAACAATGAGCGAAGCAGTTGGCAAGACGTCACACCTGAACTTTTGTTGTAGATTTTTGCTTTTTGTTACTAGTAAGATGTTTTGTGAACAAGACAATCTTTTCTTTCTGTTTCAGTGACGCCTTAGACAGTCCTCTGCTACATATACCAGTGACACAATAAAAAACAGAATCTTAGAGTTAGCAAAAGTCTATACTCAATAAAATTTTACAAAGTACACATTTATAAATTCTACTGAAATCTAGGCTCTACATTTTACATCCAGCCAAGGAGGTTTAAAAGAGAGTCGTTGATCCAACCAAATTAGACCCTGAGACCGACCAAACAGACTCTACCATTGATCACTGTGGATTTTACACACCCCAAACTCAACCGTGCCACTGAGCACTGCGCATTTTGCACACACCAGACCAATCGTGCCATTGAGCACTGTGCATTTTGCACATACCAGACCAATCGTGCCATTGAGCACTATGTGTTTTGCACACACCAGACCAATCGTGCCATTGAGCACTGTGCATTTTGCACATACCAGACCAATCGTGCCATTGAGCACTATGTGTTTTGCACACACCAGACCAATCGTGCCATTGAGCACTGTGCATTTTACACATACCAGACCAATCGTGCCATTGAGCACTGTGCATTTTGCACACACCAGACCAATCGTGCCATTGAGCACTATGTGTTTTGCACACACCAGACCAATCGTGCCATTGAGCACTGTGCATTTTGCACATACCAGACCAATCGTGCCACTGAGCACAGTGTGCATTTTGCACATAAAGTCAAGCAAAGAACACGTATATTGTGAACAATGTGTGAATCTATTTCATCATATCAGGAAAATACCAACAAGGTGACATCATTTTCAATGGAGATCCAACTGAAAACATGCACAATTCAAACAGCAATTTAGTTTTATTCTTGCAACAACTTTACCGGAACACAATATGCAACTTTCAGGTAGTTCTTCTAAATATGCCTCGGCCGGCTTTTTCAAAAAGTTTCTTGTTTATGTTAATTTTACCAATGCAAAATTAAAGAGGTTCAAAAAACCAAACTCAGTTGGTCTTGTAGTTGAAGAGATACCATTTCATCCCATATACAGTTCCGAATTATTCCCCGGCAGAGACGGTCACTAGACTTCAGGATGTGCAGATTCGAATACAAAAGATTTCCAAATAATTATTGACTTGGGCAAAGTGTTGGGCATAGTTTTAGGTACAGGAACGGAACAGTTGCCCTCCTCGTGCCTTTGACTCAAATTCTTATTTTTCAGACTCGGAGTGCCATTTTCCATTTACGTACGGAGGAGTAACCTACACTTCCTGTACCGACGTCGACCATGACCGTCCCTGGTGTTCTTTAACCGCGGAATACCAGGGCGAATGGAAAAACTGTCACGGAGGTAAGTTCATGACCACGATGAAATGGTTTCGTCCCCTTCTACAATTTGCCTTTCTGGTTCTGTGTGGGACGCGGTCAGAACAACCTGAGCATGGTTCTTCTCTCCATGTAACTTCTTTTCATCCGCACTTAATGTACGTGTTTTGTCCTACATGTACCCATGTATACACAATCAAATCTTTAATGTGTGTTAATCATAATAAGTTTTTTTTGCCGTTTGAATATTTTCTGTTTACTCTCAGACTAACAAAGACCTATTAATCCGAATGGCAGTACACGGTATAAAGAGACGAAAGGGTTTGAGTGTTTGTACAGGCCATGTATTCCGTCGATATTATGCATGGATGTACAGTTTACTCCTTCACGGAGTAATGATTACTTCTGTAATGACTAGATCTGTGTCCTACGGACTCTTGTTGAAGGTTTGGTAACCAGGCTACTCAACCGTGCCACTGAGCACTGTGCATTTTGCACACACCAGACCAATCGTGTCATTGAGTACTGTGCATTTTGCACATACCAGACCAATCGTGCCATTGAGCACTGTGCATTTTGCACACACCAGACTAATCGTGCCATTGAGCACTGTGCATTTTGCACACACCAGACCAATCGTGCCACTGCGCACAGTGTGCATTTTGCACATAAAGTCAAGCAAAGAACACGTATATTGTGAACAATGTGTGAATCTATTTTATCAGGAAAATGCCACCAAGGTGACATCATTTTCAATGGAGATCCAACTTAAAGCATGCACAATTCAAACAGCAATTTAGTTTTATTCTTGCAACAATTTTACCGGAACACAATATGCAACTTTCAGGTAGTTCTTCTAAATACGCCCCGACCGGCTTTTTCAAAATAGCTTTCTTGTTTCTGTTAAGTTTACCAAAATTAAAGAGGTTCAAGAAACCAAACTCAGTTGGTCTTGTAGTTGAAGAGATACCATTTCATCCCATATACTGTTCCGAATTATTCCCCGGCAGAGACGGTCACTAGACTTCAGGATGTGCAGCTTCGAATACAAAAGATTTCCAAATAATTATTGAATTGGGCAAAGTGTTGGGCATAGTTTTAGGTACAGGAACGGAACAGTTGCCCTCCTCATGCCTTTGACTCAAATTCTTATTTTTCAGAGTGCCATTTTCCATTTACGTACGGAGGAGTAACCTACACTTCCTGTACCGACGTAGACCGTGACCGTCCCTGGTGTTCTTTAACCGCGGAATACCAGGGCGAATGGAAAAACTGTGACGCAGGTAAGTTCATGACCACGATGAAATGGTTTCGTCCCCTTCTACAATTTGCCTTTCTGGTTCTGTGTGGGACGCGGTCAGAACAACCTGAGCATGGTTCTCCTTTCCATGTAACTTCTTTTCATCCGCACTTAACGTACCTGTTTTGTCCTACATGTACCCATGTATACACAATCAAATCTTTAATGTGTGTTAAGTTTTTTTTTTGCCGTTTGAATATTTTCTGTTTACTCTCAGACTAACAAAGACCTGTTAATCCGAATGGTAGTGCACGGTATAAAGAGACGAAAGGGTTTGAGTGTTTGTACAGGCCATGTATTCCGTCGATATTATGCATGGGTGTACAGTTTACTCCTTCACGGAGTAATGATTACTTCACGGAGATATGTGTCCTATATATAGCTACGGACTCTTGTTGAAGATTTACAAAATGTCCCGAGGGAGCCTACCTCTGGGCCCCCTACGTCGCGAGGGCCTTTAACGCCCCACCTTCAAACAGTGGATGCACTCGGGGACCAAACCAGGAGGGGCGGGGCGCTGGTGTAATGAGTGCTTCATACTAGGCCATACTAATAAAACAACACATTCAGGTACCCGAATCTGCCATGTGACAACGAACATGCACATCAATTTAGCGTTAAGCGTTACCAACCCTCCTGAATTTACCGACCTCGCTGAACTTACCGTTAACCGTTGTCAGGATCCCACCATGTAGACCCATATCGAATTGTCTCGCCGCATTGTGGGCGACTGTGGATTTAGCGATATAAATCTAGTAGGCATGATTCGACGTCCATGATTTTTTGGCAGGCAGATTACCGTTGTTAAAGCAAAAGTCAAGAACAACTTTCGGCTTCGTGGGGGGTCCGTACGTTACGTTAGTGTACCTTTTGTGTT